AAACTTGCGGGTTGACATAAAAACAGTTTAATAATGGAAATAAAACAAAGTAGAACAGTAATAATAACAACGATAACAACAACAGTAACAGAATATACAAAGCAGGCGATGCACAATGCAACTGCTCACCAACCACTGACCGCGTGTCGCGAACAGGGGGGCAAGCCCCCTCCCCCTAGTTTTTATACTGAGCATGACATCACACAGTATATAATACCCCATTGGCCAGCTGAGTCAACTGCCCTGGCTATGCTCCCCCACCCCTCCAGCTTCCCCTGCACCTGGCAGAGCATGGGAGGCCAAAAAGTCCCTGGTGCAAGCACCACCCAGCAACAACCAAAACATCAATGGGCCATCAACACTCCTCTCATACCAAAACCAACCACAGCACCACCACCACCCCCAGCTACTGGGAAGAAAGTTAACCCTATGCCAGCCGGAACCAGGACACTCACCACCAAAAAACACAAGACAGACATGTCCCCCTGGAGACAGAAGAGCTAGCTTACTACTGTTCACCATTCTGCACAAAGTCTTTTGTGAAAATCTGCATTTCAGAGCAATCTGAGAAGGAACACACAATTCACAACCTGTGGTCTTGCTCTCATTTGCTGAAGCCTGAGGTACCCTGAGGACCCAGGGCAGTCTAGAATTCACATGGTGCTTAAGTCTATCTCAAGCGACAACTCTGTATGGTTATAAAAATACATATTTAAAAAAAAAGAATCTCAGGAGTGAAATATCAGTAGTACAAAGGAAGAGGAAAAAGTCCCACTAGCTGTCAGCTAAGCTGATTTTACCTCACCTGACCTTCTTAATGTTTTCATTTGTACCAGTCCCTGTGGCTGGATTTGAGCAAGTCAAGCCAAGTAAGTCATCTTTGTAACTTTTAACTCTGTAAACCCAGTGATATTCAAGCGTGTGTTCATACTTTTATTTTAACCTCCCAAAACTCTCACCAGTGCTCATCTCTGGCACTCTCTTTTTGGATGACATTAATTATTTGATTACTACATTGATAAAGTGGTTTAGTATATGCGAACAGCCTGTTTGGAGAACATTAATTAACTTAGCAATATGCTTACAATTGACACAGGACTTTTTGGATTACGGTTAATAAACATAGCTTCTACTGATGGTCCTAGAGACAAGAAGTAATCATAGCACGCCCTTTAATAGTAGCCAGTGTCAACTTTCTCCAAAGAAAGTTTTTTTTTTGCTTACATCTCTTTCCAATCATTTTGACCCTCACCAGTGCAGTGAGGGGCACATTTAAGCTGTAATGAAAGCAAGGCCATTTGGTCTAACAAGAAGAGTAGAAGAAAATATTCAAGTGGATAACATCCTCCTCCTCACCCATATTTCACATGACTGCTTTTGTTTCCCTTGTGTCCCAGCAGGCATATGGAAAATGGCAGGAAAAAGAGTGGACAGACACAGAATCAGTCACTCCCACTCTTGCATGGTACTTTGTTTTTGCAGCTCAAAAACTTTGTATTTGCAACTCCTGTGATGCCTTATTTGCAGTTTCTCCCCTAAAAGGTACTAAAAACTTGTTTTGAGAAGTGAAGCATTGGTTTAGTCACCCAACGAGGAACTTCAAGCTGAAACTGAGTATTGCTTGACTCAAATAAATCTCAGGACTTGACAATAGCAATTTACTGTTGCTGAAAGCAGGCCTTTTAAATTGTACTGAAAATCCATCCTCATCTTTAGAGAGGAGAATCATTGTGAGTTTATTATTCCCCATAGTTAGGCAACATGGGATCTACTTGCCCTATAAAGACACAGCCTTGACATTTATCAGTAAACAGCCTCTTGAATTCAGTAATATCAGGTCACATACCTACAGCTGCACATGTGAACTATCTTTCAGACAGCAGCCTTTTTAGCCACATCAACCTGTGTGTTAAGCAATGGTAATTCAATGTATGTCCATCTTGAATGCACATCACTGCACCTATCCAGTTTTTCTCTGGGACAGTTTCACTGCAATGAGAACCAGGCTGTGTATTAAGCTTAAGACTTTCATAAACTTATTCCTGTTACCTTGAAGTGCAACCACATGAGCCTACCATATACTGAATACAAAAGATTCCTAGACATATCACTTGCTAATGAAACTGCTGAAAGTACAGTTAAATCTCCTCCCCCAATGTATTCTTCACCTTTTTGTTTTGCAACATTTGGTTTAAACTTCCAACTACTTTGTGCTGTAATCCTGAAAATCAGATTCTAAAAATGGCAGAAAGCCATTACAAGGAAAAAAAAGAAATATTCAGCAAATCCTCTTGTCCTTGATGTAACCAACTCCTGTTCATGAATGGAACTACATAGCTTTCACAATGGTTTACATCCAGGTGGCTCATTTCAGACTGGAAGACCAGATTAAAATTTTGGCATCTCACCCAAAGGCCGTCACTCTTTCTCACCCGAGTTTGGCGTAAGCAGCTGCAGAAGTTGCCCTCCTGCACCTCTCGGAAAGCCAAGCTGCTACTTGGGAAGGAAGGGGAGATGGGAGAGCCAGCTATTGACAGAGGGTAGCACCTGCTGTGAAGGGAGCATGTGCCCTGCGGCAACCACATTGCATTGGGAAAAGCAGCTGCAACATCAATTATCAGGGTTAAGCTGTGAGCAAGTGCAAGAGGTTGCGTTTAGCTGCTTGGGCAGCATTTATCCTTTGAACAGCCCTTCCCCACCTCAAGTGAGCCTAAGGAAACTGCCTGGAAAGCAAGATCTATTAGGGTCCAATTAAGGCCACAGTGAAAAGCCTTCACAATCTCCTGCGTATAAGAAACCTTATACGTAGTTGCCACTCATCCTTCCTCTACCCCATCCAATTAAATATATTTGTATGGTTGTAGATGGGTTAAAAGTTAAATTCCATCTCTAGTGTTAGAGTATTCGCGTGAGAGTTCTTAAATCAACTCTGATCACTGAAGAGTTACACTGACAGGAACAGTGAACAAATAGTAGCTTGTTAAGCACAGAGTGTATGTGAAGAATGGTCAGGGAGAAGCTGAACATGCTTGCAGGAGTTAAGACTGCCCGACATTTTTCCAGTTAAAAGCTAATGAAAAATAAGGCCTGCCAAAATTCAATCAGTTCACGTCATTTTTTATGTCACATTCAGTTTAATCTTTCCCCCTCATCTACATGTAAGGCTTCTGCCATTTAACCAAATAAAATCCAGAAAATCTGAACGCTGCTTAAATCAAAATGAGAGACTGATCATTTTGAATTTGTATTTTCCTATTCTGTGCCAAAGAACCACCTTTTTGGGGTACAGAAACACACTGAAGAACTGCAGCTTGTTTTTCCCCTTTTGAATATTTGGACTGTTTAATTTGCTCCAAATTTAAGCTGTTCCTTGCATGCTTCAAGAAATCATTGTACAGGCTGAGAAAAAGTCCTCTGTAATTAATGCATTTGACTACTACAGGCAAAACAGAGATTAACAGCAAAAGACTAACAGCAAAAGCAGAGCAGGAGGGATTATGCTCAAGTACCTCCTACTGTTGATAGCAACTGAACAGTATGGAATTAGGAGGGGGGAAAAAAAAAAGTCATCCAATTTGAAGAAAAGAGGACAACAGTGACTAATACCAGAAAAGGCTGACAAAGGAAGAATTTAGCCTTTAGAGTACAAGCCCAAGAATTGCCTGGAAGGCCATCCAAAATTACTAAGTTCCAAAAGTCATCTCATGTCAAAGACACCTCTTGTCCTTCTGTGAGTTTCTTTCTGCTCTACTTCATAGGCAGAGCAATGAGCAACAACAATGAGGTACTCCATAAAGGAGTAATTCCCCATGCCCGTGGAGTGAACTATACCTTCCAAACCTAACAGTCAAAGTTACATGCATATATGATGTTACATAACTTAATTACAATGTTCCCCAGCATTTGCTTTATTCTTTTCAAAAAGTTCATATTGATTTTTATTTTTTTAAACTTTTGCAAACATAGCTGAGTTGCAAAAGAAGAAAATGTACCTTCTCTACTCATGTCTTCTATTGCCTTAACTCTAGCTATACCATACACAAGAGCTGCCTTGCTAGTCCTTCCATTATTTCAGCAAGACACATAACCTAGGTAAGTTTACTTTGCCACTCTCTCTTTCCACAATTAGTAGTCCTGTCCTACAAAAACACCCTCTTGCAAGAGTTGATTGTTTCGACCATACTTTAATTCAATTCCCATCCTTGGGCCGCCAAGGATGTTAATTTCTAACAAGACTGGTAGTGTTCTTCCTCCATTGAGCTGGCAGCCAGGGACTGGATTTAGGCCCAGACTCCCAAAGTTATTTAAACACCTCCAATCCTCCTAGTGAAAAAGACCTAAAATGTACTTGAGAATTTAGTCCCCATGTTCAAACAGGAATTCATGAAACTGAAAATAAGCAGCTTTCACTCACTGCCAGTTAAAATCTAAATTTTTAATTGCAGCCTACTGATAGCTCATCCTAAGATGATTTTTGACAAAAAGATTGTTTGTTTTAGCTCCATTTTACTGTGCCAGAAATGAGAAGTGTGCTTTCTTAAAACTATGGAAAATCATTAGACCAGGCTCAGCTGTTGATCACTGCTTCTCACAATTTTTTGTCTGAGTTGTAATCTCTTCAGAGATCCTGAGAGCTATTTCTTTCCGTATGGAGCACTAAATTCCATATTATACATGATTCTCTGAAGTGTCCTACAAGACTCAAAGCAGTACTCAAACACATATCCCAGGTTTTAGAAGTTTGGATGCTTATATTTGAGAAGTGCTGAGGTTGTATTGAATACTGCCATTTGCCAAAATAATTCTGTTGCTTGATCACCGTACCTCTGTACTTGGTTACCCTTTATCTTCCTCCTTTGTATTTTATTTTTCACTGCTCATACACAAATTTGCACTACTTGTAACAGAAGGAATGATTTGTGTGTATGATTTATGAATTCTGCCTTAACACAGAGCAAACAGACAACATGTCAGTGTTGTGAAGTGAGGCCTGTTCTTACCATACAGTTCATGGCAAAGTGATTGTGCTGTGTCTGAAGCTCCATTGCATGGGGATGACTGGTTCCGATCTCCGTGTAGCTGTTCAGAAACAGACCTTTGTTGTGTGTGATCCAGTCAAACATCTACAAGAAAATATTAAGGGGGGAAAAAAAAAAAATCACTAATTTGTTATGGCAGAAATCATAGACAAGTAATGTGAGAAATCTGTGAACACAGAAGACAGAAAGAGTCTAAGGCCACGAAAATTAACACTGATGCTCTTTCCATTCTAAGTTACCACACATTTTAACCAAATCATTGCTGAAATCTGATTTTCTGGACCAAACAGCTGAGGCTGTTAAATCTTTACTATAGGTGTTTATCTCAACAAGCTACAGTAAAGTCATAATCATAAAGTCATAAGCTTCATTACTACAAAGAAGTTATAGTAAACAAATAGGCTTGGAGCACAGCCCTGAGTTACCAAGCTTATACGTTCTCTAGCATCAGCATTTTATGTCAGGAACTTAGTAGTTCAGAATGAAAATGGCAACTCATGGAAATTAAATATAAATTCATTCTTGCTGATCAAGTACTTCAGCAGCAAGTTTAATATTTTTAGTTCATAGCTTTACAGCAGATTTGAAAACAACTTTTCTATTGCTAAACAAATTAAAAAAACTATACTTGAGCACGGAGTTACACGCTTTCTTCCAGACAAGTTTAAAGATAATTTTTAAATATGGCGATTTGTTTTGTTTTGTTTTTTTCAAAAAAAAGCATTTTAATATTCAAAGAAATTTTAGAAAAGACCTTATCTGACAATGACCATCAATGGAGGTACATAGGTATGTTAACAGTGGCACTGGAAGACAAAGTTTTCAAAGACCAAGCAACACAGCAAAAGGCTAAGTTTAACACCACCACCACCCACTCCCGCAACGGTCTTGAAATCTTTGCTATATCTCAGCTCAGAAGACCCGCCTATTCCCTGGATAAGCTGAAAAAGATTGTTCAGAAAAAAATGGTACCAATGAGCAATAAGCACTCATTTAAAGATCTTTTAAAATATGCTGGCTAACAGAACAATATTATCAAAACCATTATTCCACCCAGGTACATGACAAATCAAATTATAAGTAGATCACAATACGGTAAGGACTGTAAACCAAAAAAAAAAGTTTTAAGAGCTTATAGAACTGAGACAGCTGATCACATACTCCTAAAATTTTCAGTTTCTCATCTAGACTACAGTGAAGATGTGTTAGAACATTATTTAAAATAGATACTGGTCCTGCTCGTGACCACCTTTCTCTATGTAGTCTGACTTTGCTGCCTTCAGATACCTACAGGGCAATTCCAATCAGATTCCCTCCTATCTCACCCCTTTTTTGCCTTCTCTTCTCCTGAACCAGTCCAGATTTCTCGTGCAAAGAGTTGTGCAAGTCCTCCAAAATGAACATGTTTATTTCTCCCCATCCAATACCCTTTATTTTTCCAAGAAAGATCCAGCCCTTTCCCGCACCTAAATAAACCACACAGACATACACTGATAAAGAAGCCCTGAGCTATGAAATCTAATCTGACACAAGCAGCGAAATAAGGGCTGCAAGTAGATTAAGGCAGGGGCCTTAATCCAAAAGTGAGTTGGGATACTACACAAACCTCCTTTTTAATCTTTTTTTATTGGTTGATGAGAGGCTGAAGTCCCAGGTATGATAGCTGCTGTCAACTGCATTTCGAGGTGCCTAACATTTCCCTATATTTTGAAAGAAAGATGCGTTAATTTAATACAGACTTATTCTTGGAATCAGGAACCTAGAAAACACAGATAGGAGCTTATGCAACCACATGGCAGGACAGAGATAAACCCCACAGGCTCAAGTATTTCACAAGGAGTTTCTTAAAGCCGAAGTTATGTAGGCAACTTTTAGATGAGTAAATGAAGAACATAGCTTTCAATAGCACATGAGCACCACCAAAATATATTTTGTTCATGCTGGAAGGTTGCTAAAGAGCTATACTAGACCAACAGCTTGTTATTTTCTAAATAATTTTATAACTCTAAATTCACTTGACCAGATTTTTTTCAACTCTTCACATGCCCCTACTATTTTCTGCTATAGCCATTCAGTAGACACTTACTTTAAATGGTACTTTAAAAAAAAATATTTTTTTCAAACACAGCAGAAACCATTAAGAGTAGTGTAAAGAAAGTCCCTGAGCTGAAATAATGAGGGTAAGGGAAAGTACAGGGGAAGAAAACAGAGGAAGAAGGAGGAAGGAGAAGTATTATATATGTTTGCTCTGCTTTTACTCTTCCCCATGCATCTGCTTATGACCACTGCAGGAGAGCAGGATACTGGTTTAACACAGACCTTTGGTCTCACCCAGTTCAGGCATTCTTACATACAATATTTTAAGACATCTGACAAAGACCATACTTACCACTTGAGTGTATAGTAGTTACTACTTCTCCCAGAGAAAAACTCCCCACCCTTCCTTAAAGCTATTTGTTCCATGGTAACAAGATAATAGTAAGTGATTGCAATACCATTCTATATGAAAATAGATCTTATTTGAGCTCATCTAAAAGTGCACTGCCTGCCATATTTCCTCTTCAAATTCCATGACAATCAAGGGCTTTTTCATTTGAAGGGACTGGTTAGCCCGAAACATTCTGAGATCACTCAGTCCCCTGTTAATGACATATGCACTGTCAAAAGAGATACATCAGTTTTTAGCCTGGGACTTTAAATCCTGCATCAATGAAGCAGTTCCCCATGTCAGCCTCTTCACACTTTGTCGACTGCCTGTCACTCAAATCCCAAGGGTTGCTTAAAAGAAGACCAATGTAGTCCTTAGTCATCTGTATTTATAAAGTATACAGCATTCATCTTCACTTGATGCACGCAAAAGCATCTGTTTGGAACAAAAACTTACAAAAGAAAAAGCTTTAAAGTCACTATGACTTAAAATTTTCTCTGGTGAGAGCCACCTGTGTTCTTTACAGCTTAGAATTACTACCCCATCCCCTTTACTCCAGAAGACTAAGAGTCACTCTCAATCAAGAAATCCTTTATTTCTCATTAAAAGGCTAGTGATTAACTCCAAAAAGAAAAATTACTCTTTCCAGTTATCCGTGGTACTTCTTTCAAGTCCGTCAAGCAGTGCCCATTTATACCCCCCTCCCCCAATCCCTTACCTTTTCAGCATCCTGCTCAAAAAGCCTGAGCTGAAAACATTGGTCCAATTTCAATTTCCGCACATGCCACATCTGATGCAGATGCTGCCGTGTTGAGTGCAGCCTGTCCAGCATGGTAGATACTTTGGGTAAAAGGTTCTGTAAGTCTGCATTCCCTGACCCAGAGTTCTTTTTGGGAAAGCTATCACTGCTCTGTATCCGCTGGAGCAGCTTTTGCCCTTCCACATCAAGGTCCTCGATAGGGGCCTTAATGACTTTCTTTTTTAATTGTGAATGCTCCTCTATCATATTGCGAGCACCTTCCAGGTCCTGAGGCATTTCCTTTTTTGACAATATATCTTGCAATTCCTCCAGTCTGGACAGCATATGGGTTGCATTGCTAATGTAGTCCTCAAAGGCAACTCTGATTTCTATCCACTCCTCATGGTTGTACTCCAAACAGCCATCAAATTCTGGGGTTAACTGAGAAGGATCAACTACTTTGGTAAGGCCTTCCAGAGACACCATATTTGTCTAAAAAAATAAAAATGAAAATTAAAAAAAAATACTGTTACTGAAATGAATTTGAAATTTTCTGTCAAGTTTTTGTTTTTTCTCTTTGTAAGTGTTGATCATTTTGCTCATAAAGTCCACATGACTTAACTTTTCTCATACACTTCTTTTCAAATATCAATTCTGATCAGCCTCCTGTCTTGCAGGTATTTCTGCAAATGAGAAATATTTTCTTTCTTTCTTACCTCACTACACTTAAGGAGAAACCAGCAACCACTCTTTTGACTACTGTTTTGATTAAGTTTTGACTTTGTGTATTCTAAAGCAGCAGGAGGATAACAGCAAAGCTGCTTTCCTCTGGATGCTGTGATATCACAATTACCACAATGCAGACCAAGACAACAAGCAGATGAAACCTAACTTTTTACCATTAGGGGTAAAACCCTAATTCCAGAGAAAGAATATAAATGACAACATGCACAACTACCTAGCCTAAATACATGAAGAAAACCACATTCCCTCTAGCACCACTGGCCTAATGTACCCCTCCTCTCATCTAGAACATAATTTATCTGATCAGTAGTGAGCACATTTAAAACCACGAAATAAATGTAAATTTGTATACCATAGGGGAAATTACCTCAAACTCAAACTTAGAGCTGCCAAAGTTAGTCCTCTGTTTCTGCCAGAAATTGTCTGGCTTGATTATCAGTGCAACATGAATACAACATGGAAAAGATTCCTGTAAAATCTTCAGCAGAGGCTTTATGGAGTCCCATTTTGACCCACGCATATCTACAATGACGGTGAATCCTCGTTTACATACTTCCTCACTGCAGAAGAAAGAAGAAAAGGTTAACAAGCAAGTATTACAACTTCAAACACAGCACTCTACTGCACCACATTGCCTAATGAACGTGGTCTCCTCAGCTAACCATAACACCCTAGGGTCTTGCTGTTGACTAGCTGACATGTACAGCAGATCTGCTGAACCCCCCCCTGCCACACTCCTTGTGGGTGATAGCTTTACACCTGTTGCTGATTTGATAATCTGCCTTTATCTCCTCTTTCATTTTCATTGTTTATATTCAGTGATTCATCTTCCAGTCTTGTTTCTCATTCACCTTACACACACATTAAACACACCATTTACTGAAGCAGCAATATGTAATTAATTTACAATTGACTCTTCAGAACACACACACACTTTATTGATGACAATATTCATGCCTTTCTAATGACTGAGGGGATGCTCTAAAAGACAGAAGATGGCATACTGTTCTTACCTACCACTTCTGCAACTTTTTTAAAAACTGTCTCAGATTTAGTCCCATATTATCTGAGAGTTAGAGTTTGTAGAGGGGGAAAAAACCCCTTTATTGACAATTCTTTCTGTAACAGAATCGATTTGTGGGTAGTTAATGGATAAGAAAGCATTTTATGGCTGTGAAGAAAACCACATCAACCTGTTTCTACAAAATTTGAGCTCAACTTTGCTGTCCAAAAGTTGTCAGACTTTACACCCAAATTCTCTGACAACTCTTCTGAGAATGGCAGGTTTAGTTTCTTTTCATCAATACCTTTTGTACACTTAGTGCTTGCCACTGATCAAAAGCGGCAATCCCTACCAACATCAGAAACTTTGATTTTGTTCCAGTAGAATTTGCTACATGACCTTGTTAACATGGAAGGGGAAAATATTTCAAAACCAATGCATCATAGCCAATGGACTATCAAAAGGGACCAAACGTCCATTGTTTGAGTACATGAGTCACTTTCAGGGATGTGAGTAATGCAAATGCAATTCTGGAGTTCATGTGGTGAGGTTTTCAGAGTCTCCAAGCAATAGGAAAGCTTCACTGGCATACTTTACACAGTCTCCTTGGCCACACTGTATGAAAGATGAGTTATGACTAATACAGGAGAACAGAAGAGCTTCCGAAAAAAGTGGTAATACAGGTTTCCTTAGGAGTTTTTTAAAAGTTGGTTTAAGAAAAACAAACAAGCCACCATTTAAAAAAGGAGTTTATTAAGATACATGCCAGCTGTACCACCTGTCCATAGGAATGCCAAAAATGGCAATGGTAGCAGGAAAACACATTAAAATTGACTAGCTTGGAATACGTGTAGGCTACAACATACAACTTTCTGACCATGGTGAAAATGTTTTCTAACAGCCTCACAGGATTAAAGGACAAAAACAACTACTGTTTTAAAGATACACCCATTATTGAAAGGCTGTATGCTCTTATACGAGTGCTGCTCAGCCCATCCCTATCCTACCACACAAACTGAGCATTGCGTGAGGAAGAGTGCTTGCCACTAATTCATATGAGGCACATATCTACTGGAGTGTACTAAGCAGCCCCTCATCATGTGATACAATGCAGATGTGTCCTCCTGTCATGTGGCCCCATCATCTAAAAAACCATGAATCCCCTTTGGCCAAGAATCACAAAAAATTGTTCTAGGAGGCTTTAGTCAGCCAAGGTCATCTGTTAGGTAAACCTGAACTACAGCACTGATGACTTAAGTTTAGCAGTATTTTTAAGTCAGATAAATTGTTAAACTAGTAAAATTGTGAGACGATCAGCTTAAGTGTTTAGATCTCTTGCCAAACAACTGATACCTCTAAATCTTCAGCTATGTAGAGTAACAGTACTGCAGTAACTAATAGACAGACCAAATGGGACTTCTTAATTAGCAAGAGTTGCATGATCAGTCCCTAAAACATGACTTGTATGAAAATGAGTCTTGCTTTTAATAAAGTTCCCTTTATTCTCAAAGCTTTGCCATGCTTTGAGATATAAAACCTACACTAACTTTCTTTTCATTTTAAATCTATTGATGCTAAACTAACATACAACTTTTGCCGGAGGACCACAGTATTTTGCCAGATTATCTCTAGAAAACTCTCTTGGGCATATTTTGATGCATATTTATCTATTAACTTCTCTAGTGACTTGAAGCTCTAGAGGGCTAGAATACATGTCAAACATTCAAATGTGAAGTCAAATTATTTCAGAAGTAAAAATCTCAAGCCTTCTCTCCGTCCTCCCTCCTCTACCTCCCCAAAATCCCCCAGTTAACTCTTAGGGGAAAAAAAAAAAAAAGTACTAAACACTCCTACACTTCAAAGTGAAATAAAGACTAGAATAATTGAATTACCAACAACCACTCTTAAGGAAGGCCGTACACACTGTCAACTAGATATCTTGAAATTATTTTTATGAAAGCACTTTTGTAAATCTGAAACCAACATCTGATTACATCAGGTGCAAAGACGACTGCCTATAAATTAACACATTACAGAAATATGGAAGATACTGTATTCAGGGATGTTGTCCAAGTGATTTTTTTCAACTGTAATGACAACTGCTCCTTGAGGTCATAGGCAAACATATTCAAGCACAGCCAGTGTTGCTCCAGTCTGCACCACATGTTGGCAGATTCTGAGATGGACCTAAAGTCCGGGTCTTATGATCATTTTTGTCCCTAATTCCATTACTACTAGGAATAAAGTTTTATGTGAATAAACTTTTTTACATATATATAATATATAACTTTTTTTTTAAATATATGTGTAAAACCTTTTTTTAGATATATATATGGGTGTGTGTATATACACACACACACAAACCACTGGATTTGACTTCTGCCGATTTATTTAAATAGCACATTGTAATTCATAGTTTAAATTGTTGACAATACAATGATATCAGTACCTTCACAGATCTCTCCACAGGTTTATCTGAGACCTGTACAAGCAATTTTACATATCTCTCTCCTGGTTATTCCTGTGTTATATCAGGACACTGTAACTTATCTAATACAAATAACAGTTAGGAGTCTTGTGCTGACCTTAGTCCACACAAGGCATATTGTGAATGATGACCAGCATGTTTCTAATTATTGATGTACTGAAAGCCTTTGAGTTGTATCTGCAATCTTCAACACAGTGACAGCAATATGGCATGGCAGTACCATTTCAAGACACAAACTACTTCCAGCTAAAGCACGCCAGCCGTTCTGCCAACAGCCTTCCTTCTACAAGGCAGAGTAATTATTCAGGTCTCTTCCAAAAAGCAGTTTGAAAACAGTAACTGACAGAACTTGGTATGAATTTTCTCATTTTCTTAACCCGTGCAGCCTTCTAGCTTGTGGGTGGACTGCAACATATTCCATTTATTTTTGTTTTATAACTTCAGAACTTATCAAGTGACCATCACTTACCTAGGAATACAAGCTAGGTATGAAATTAATCTTCTAAGGTCTTCTTGCCGTATTCTATCATGATTACTACGAGCTGGAAATGTTAGAATGGGACCTCCACGCTTATCTCTGCCACCTGAAAAATTAAACATGTTAAAAGACCACAGCATAACACCATTCTTGTTTGAAAAACTAGTCTTCAGAATACTTTTGGAAAACCTAAGTCCTACACTGTTTCATGAATGTCCACTTAAAAAAAGAAATTATTTCAAGTTAAATACCAACACTGTCATTTAGAGACCAGCTTAAAATTGAATTTTGGAAGTGTCAATCACCATATTGTCACAATTCCTACAACGAGGAAGTATCTGTCAAAAAAATTGACACAAAGAATAACCATAGCATTACACTTACACATTACAATCACATTCAAGTTTGACTGGCAGTGTGACATCTCCAGCAACGGTGCTTTGCTACATATTTAACTTTTGAATCATCAATTTTACAGATTAAATTTAAAGATAGAGTTATGGTACTTCATAGGCAAGTATTTAGAGGATACTCAGCATTAACTTCATTACTAGCATAGAGTTTAGGTGTGTAGTATCTCACATCTAATGCATATACTAGATGAGTAGATGGATACTATTCAAGCATTTCATTTATATTTTTACCCTGTTCTGATGTGCAGATTCTGAATTGTCAGTTTATAGTTTTAAATTTTGTTAGCAATGCAGGAAAATCTGTATCCACTTAATATGTAAGGCAAAAAATCTGACTTTGAGTGGTTCCACTTAAATGTATTCATCTCATTCATTACATTGCACAGACCTACTGTAGTTGAACATTAAAATGCAATTTTATATCCAACCCCTTGCTAGTGACAACTAAATGTTACTATTACTAAATGATAAATTCAAGTCAGTAGGCTGTCTTTATCAACACTTGTATAATAGCACAGACACATTCTTACAAGCTAAATTTCACATATATGTTCTCAACCACAGATGTATGGACTGTTTTCTCCTGTCCCATGGAAACGCAGAAAAACACCATTCCCTGTCCTGAATGATTTCTCATTGTAAATCAGCTCCTCATTGTAAACCCATGTTACTAAACAAAGTTTTAAAAAAATCCCTTAGAAAGGAAGGCCAAAAGCAAATTAATAAAACCAGTCACTCAAAAATTCATCACTATCCTCCTGCAACAGTCTGCATGTGCTTGCTAGAGACACTAAGCCTAGCTGTCAAAGTCTCCAGGGACTGTCTGCACTGGACGTGTTCCTCAGGAGACACCAAATGAAACTCAGAAGAAGCAAAAGCAGCTTTAAATTTCTGTCAAGCTGCAATGCCAGAAACCTAAACTTAAAAGGAAATTCATTTTCTTATCTTCCATGACCCTCTTAAGTGGGACAAGAGATTAGAATGATATAACTCCATTGTTTTTAATGGAGAGAGGCAAGTCTGGCCTTGACCATCCTGACCTACTTGCCAAGCAGAGCGCTTTGAGGATTTTTACATAGCAAGTGACAGGATAAAAAACAAGACAGAAGCCACAAGAGAGGAAGGATAAATGACAAGACTGAGAGTCCAACAGCCCAGGCCTCCACTCAGCTCCAGAGTGATCACTGGGCTCCAAAGCTACCACACTTAGCTGAAAGTCTGCTGCAGCCCTCAATGCTCTCCTCAGTGCACCGCAGGCCATCAGCTAAGGATCTTAAAAATTTATGTTTCAACTGGTAAACGCTACTGATTCCAACCCCCCAGAAAAAGTGCTCAATTGCTCAGGGTGCAAATTCTTCTTTAAAAAGCAGCAGCCAGTAGGGAAAAGCATACGCTGAACTGTCTTTAACGTTCTCTAAGCGTTTTAAACAAATGCCTTGTTACACGCAGTCACCTCAGGTCAATCCTCCAGGCCTTTCCCACACAGCAATTCCTCTATCATGCATTTTTCCAACATGGCAGAGGAAAGAAACCCATATTCTTTATGTCATTTTGGATGCCACTTCAGTTGGCCTCCACATACACCAGAGAGAAAAACCACTTTTAAAGTATGGTGCTTAGATTTCTGATAAATCATATCCTGAAATTTTTGTACGCTGAAGACAAAATCTGTTGCACAAATTTCAGGTCTAGATGAGTAATGAAGAGATTAATAGAGCCTTGATTTTTGGTGAAAAGAATTTCACTATCCAGTCTTAAACCAGATACCAAAATTGTAAATATTAAGCAAAAAAGTCCCTAAGACTTGTGGTTTTTCATCAGCTATATTGAAAGCTTTCTTAGGCCTTTTCCAACAAACAACTCTCATTTCCTTTGTTCCTGATGCTCCTGTGTCATACACAAACAGGAATGTTAAAAGCAACAATGTATGAGGCATCAGGTGGGAATTTCCTGTCTCACAATAGTTTTTATCCAACTCAGCCCCCTATTTGTCTTGGTTTAACAAAAACATATTAAGCTACTACTATCATCGGTGGGACTTCCATTTTTACCCCTTTCCTTTTATACAAAACCCCCACAGTACTGAGACATTCTCTCTGTTTATGGCAAGACGTGTCATATGAGTAGCTGATCCATTCACGATCACCCAACATGAATGACTTCTGTCTAGTGCACATCACTAACAGCAGTCTTGTCAATGGACTCCAAACGGCACCAAAATCCAACAGGCTGAGTAGTGCAGTTTTTTTCAGGAAATGCCTTTTTACCTAGTTTCAAAGTACTCAGGTAAAGCCAAACAGTGGGCTTTTATGGCATGTTTGAAAAGCAGGACAAGTTATCAAATGCTATTTCCTCATCTGAAACCAAGATAATTGCACCTTGTAAGAAAATGCTCTCCTTATGTATGTGTAGAGATGTGAGAGCATCTGTACTTCAATAGACTTCAGTTTAAACTTAACAAAAAAATTGCATCCAAGACTCCATTCATACTTCATGGTTACATCTCTAGGAGGTTTTTTTATTTCAGGTGGTGAGACGCACAATACTTAAGCAGATTATTTCCCAGTTCGGTGAAAATCAGTTCAAGGAAGCTTTTTCTCTTCCTCCTCCCCTCCCCCCCCCTTTTGTTGTTGTTTGAGAACCATTTTGTTGGCAATTTTAGAAAAACAACGCAGGATTCACAGGGAAGCTGCACCCAAGCATTTGCATTCTACACATCAAGTTATTTTGTTACTTCAGCCAATACAAGATAAAGCAGTCCAGTCTGTCAGACTGGTTTCATGTAGGACAGGTACTTCCAATACAGAATTTATTCCTGAATCAGTATGTACAGATTCAGGCTAGCTGGGTGAGCTTTGGGACTTTGTAGTTATCAACCTATATACAGAATACTTCACAGAAGTATTTGTTCTTCTGTACTTCCTTGCCTCCTGCCGTAGCAAAAAAAACCCAAAACCAAACAAACCTGCTTCAAGATCTGTTTCATAATTGAATTGTCAGAGACTACATCTCTCCTTCTCACTCCAACTGTCATCCAATCATTAACTTTACCTTTCCTTAACAGTTTGAGCATCACAGCTACACTAACATATTTTAAGATATGCAAGGAACACAGATTTTAGCAAGTCCAGATGACTTATCTGCACCATAGTCCTCATTTGTACATTGTTTGTTGTACAAAATTTACTTCTAAATTCACGTTTGTTTTTTTTTTTTAAATTTTTTTTTTTAAAACTATCCTGGCTGGTGCTACAGATAACAGAGGCAAGGAGAAAGAATTCCCTTCCATCTAAATACATCTTCAGATACACTAAATTATGAAAAATCCACTCATTTTTTTCACTTACAAAAACACATCATTAACAGCTCAATGAAGGGGGCTAAACTGGATTGTGATAATGGAGGAGAAAGCAAAAGTGAATCACATCAGATCTACTGTGATTTGTGGCACAGGAAGAAGAACTACTGAAACAGTTTTTTCAAAGTGATGAAGTACTTAGACTGTGCAAAAAAAAAGAAATTACGTTGAGTAGATCTGTTAAATATATCCACCTGAAAACAAATGAAAGGAATAAATGAAAAGCAAATACTGAAACAAAGCAATATAGAATTACAGCCTAAGAATGATCGAAGAGGTACCTGCTGGAGGAGAAAAGGGAAACTCTCATAAATACAGTTTAATCACAACATAGTACACTTGGAGTAAAAGTGGTACCTCAGTGGGAGGTATCTGTTACCAAGAGCTTTAACTTGATTAAAACACCAAGATTTCTCATTGGATCAAAACATCATCTCAAGAATGGCTTAGGAGATACCTATGGTGCAAACAGTTGTTGCCCCTTGTCTTCTCCATGTAGCACCTTGTGAAGAGAGCACCTCCACCCTCTTTGTAGCTGTCCTTTAAGTACTGGAATACTGTGATAAGGTACCCCCCTGAGCTTTCTCTTCCCCAGGGAGAAAAGACCTAACTCCTTCAGTCTTTCCTCATAGCACAGGTTCTCCAGCCCTTTGATCATCTTCGTGGCCCTCTTGTGGACCCTCTCCAGTCTGCTTGTGTTTTTCTTTAATTGTGGGGACCAGAACTGGACACAGTACTCCAGGTGTGGCCTGAAAAGCACTGAGTAGATTGGGATAACCACATCTCTATCCCTGCTAGTAATGCCCCTATGAATGCAGCCCAGGATCCAATTTGCTTTTTTTGCTGCAGCAGCATCATGCTGACTTATGTTCAGCTTTTTGTCCACCAGGACCCCCAGGTCCCTTTCAGCAAGGCTGCTCCTCAGCCACATGGACCCTAGCCTGTACTGGGCTCTTTGGTTATTCCGACCCAGGTGGAGGACTCTGCGCTTGTCCCTGTTAAACTTCATGCTGTTCTTGCTAGCCTACTCTTCCAGTCTGTCCAGGTCTCTCCATAAGATCGCTCACCCTTATGTGTCCATCTCACAATAAGCAGGTCTCAAGAAGTGCTTAACAAAGCCAGCATTGTGGAAAGATCAGTGTCTTTATTCTAAGAACACAAAGATGAATATAGTGCTATACAGCCCATACTTACTCATTTAACTTGGAGAAGGAAGGTCTCAGCAGAGAAAGGCAGAGAAAAGACTGGGGAAGTGAACTGAGGATCTCAAACACTCCATGAATTTTTTTTAAGACTGTGTTATTTGTGTAACTTTCCTGCTCTATAAAAAAGAACTATTTCTTTGCACTGTTGATTGTCATACTTCATTTCTATGTGAGAAGGTACTTGACAATCAACAATTAACATGTTGGAACAACTCTACCAGAACTCCAATATAAATGAGGGAGAACAAAATACAAAAATTATAGTGATGTTTGTGGATGCCTTAGGCTTAATGGGACTTTTAGAGTTTTAGTAGAGATTACTTAGTTATCTTTAGATAGAGTTTTAGTAGAGATATCCCCAATAAATTTGTCCTACTTCTACAGACCTTAATCAGTTATTGTACTTACAAATATTAAAACCAAGTACTTGAGCAAAAGTTGTACCTTGGAAGAAAAAAAATGACGTACATTGAAAGCCTCTGTAAGTCAGTAAATCCAACAGTCTTCCTTACCTTTGCGTTCCCAAGTATAGAGCTTGACAGTTCTAGTTCCACAACGGTTAAGCCCTAGTGGTGGTGGTAGTTTTGTTATGGGGCTTTTTGTTTGTTTTGTTGTGGGTTTTGTTTGTTTGTTTTAAGTCATTTGCACTACTAATGTATCTCATTTCATTTGAGCTCCACTTGCAATGGAAATGTGAAACTACTGATTTTGGCAGATCAGTTCCGGCCAGTCTTGCTGCTTACAGCTGTTTGCTCCATTCTTCTGTCAGAAGTTGCTACATTCACACAGGCAAGTTGGCAACCACTTCTTCCACCTGCACCTCATCTGCTCCAGTGCATAATCCATCATCTCCCCTTAAATTTATCTTCAGCTTTCATTTGGCCCGCTTCACTTTCACTGAATGCCTTTTAAGAATGCCATATGCTTACAAATTAACATTAGAGAACACCTATCATCTTTCAGATCCCTTCTAAGGGGACTAAACTAAGTTCTGGATAACCTGGAAATTCAGAGGTTTTGGAATGGAAACTGACTACATTTTCATTAAGTGCCGTAAAGCAAAGTCCAAAAAAGAGTAATGAGGGATTGAAATACTGTGCTTAGCTCCCTTTTCTCTTCTTTCCCTCTGAAAATACAGTTTTAAGCAAGCCTTCATCAGCACTACAATTCATAAGCAGAAGAATTGGTTCTTCCCACACTACCTGGGAAATTGGCTCTGGGCGCTCTGTTAGATCATTCATTACAGTTGCCAGGACCTTCTAAAAAAAACATCTTTTTTGCTTTACACCTCTACTTGACTCAGCAGAGTGGACAGGATTAAGTTCTGTGAACTACACACTGTAGTTGCAAGCATGAGCATCCATGCACAGCAAATCTCTAAAGAGTGCAATTTCAGGGATCATTTTGTACGTTTTAATATTTACAGATAAGAGCTTCATTTCTGGAGTTTTTGACAAACTATTCATCCAAAAAAAAACACCTTTCAAATATGAGACTGTCCTCTAAATCATTTGGCACTAAGATTATGGCAAAGAGAATGATGTTGTCTAATCCCAACAGGTTTGGAAGTACTTACTTCAGAAAGTCACACCAAAATGCACTTCACAAGAATAAGCAGCTCAGCCATCATTCCATCAAGTAAAGTTACTTATCAAGTTACAGAATATGTTATGATATTTATTCATCTAAATCCCACTTTTAAATTCTCTTGCTATTCCTCATTAAGTAACCAACCAACTTCAAGGTATATACTGGAGATAGCTAGAATTAGATGCTAACTCATTTCACCATGAAGATATTAAGTGTGCTTCAAAAGATATGCACTGAAATTTCACCTCCGCAACAGAGATATTTCTCCAGTGCTTCAGATGGGCCAGTAACAAAGCCATCTCTGTAAAACCCTCCAGCAGAATAAGAGAAGGAATATGACTACAGTACAGCAGGTTGTTCTAGGTTGTTCTAATAATGCTGTTGGATATGCAGGGGGGACAGGACGCGACTGGGATGACAACAAGCAGTATGTTCCACATTCAACAAAACACATTATCCTCTTTATTACAGATCCTTTCACAATGCTCATGTTATGTTTGGGATACCCAACTGGAATAGGTGCTACCCTAGCTTTCCATGACTTTTGTAATTATATTTAAAGTATTTAAAATACCATTTTACATGTGACTAACAACACAGTTATGCATTCCACAACAGAAGAAAATAACTGTACCTGAAAGGTATGCAACTTTTTCCTTTAAAATTGGCAATACTTCCATAGCCTTCATTTCATCATTTTTGCGAAACCCTGAAAAAAGTAAAAGACAAGATAATTAGTCAGAAATTCAGATAAGCTCAGCTTCTACATGTAATGAATGCACTGTAAAACATTTACCTTTGGAATACAATCTGAATGTTATTATTACAGGAATTAAGATATCCTTACACTAAAATGTTGCAAAAAAATAAACTAAACTTTTAAAATATATTAATGAACAAGTCATCGCTCTGACTAGCTTAACACAAATAGCATGGTCTGTTAGCAAGCCTCAGTAGAAAACAGGATACTGGAATTAGCCTTTTTCATCAGTAAATAAAAACTATCAGTTGGATCCTGTTGCTTTTAGGCATTCCAAATCCCACTTTCAGTTTTTGTTCTAGCAGAAGAATAGTATCAAGCTATTAAGAGTAAGTAACTTTAGAACAATTACCAGCCAAAAAAACCCCAAACAAACCCAACAAAAAAAACCCCAAAAAATTTGCCAACCCCCCAAAAAACACCACACCAAAAAATCCCAACACTATTTACATGCAACTTTCCTGACATGACTTCTGTAAGCAGAATTGGGAGATAAAGCTCTCAACTGTGTCTTTGCGGCTGCCTGACAGGAGCAATATTTTGTCACGTTAACGCTATACACCCACAGAGTTTGAAATGGTGCCCAAGGTGAGTGATTACAGTCAATGTTGCAAAGCAGCACATCACCAGCTTGTCCCTCCTCTCTACTTCCATTACATTTCTAAACTTCTCCCTTCTTTAATAGGGGAGATTTAGGAAGCATTTTACTTATGACCTTATATTCCATATTGACCTGTACAATACAGAATTGGTCCCTTTTGGGCCAATCTTGTTCATCTTATAAAAAATTGGGTGGTTTTGTACCCACACTTCAACTACCTGTCTGTATGATCCTTCCCTGTCTCTTTGGATTCATGTGCTTCTCTAAAAATCTCATTTCTGAAGAAAGTACCTCTTCTGGGGTAAGTGGGAAGCACGCACTTCTCTATCACTATTGAAGCCCAGAAGTGCTGTTAAGTAGGGCAGCCCAAATAGCCTGCTACAACTCAGTAATTGTGTTCCTTAAAAGCAACAGTTTGAACTATTTAGAAGGTAAAATAAGCTTCTTAACTATTTATAGTTTCAGGGAAATCTTACAAAAGCAAGCTCTAATGTACATGTGGCAGTCTTTTCTAAAATATGTTGTTGTTGTTCTGTGCAAAAGGGCCACAAGCCCTCTAGAGATGGCAGCAGAAGCTGTCACTGATGCCCAGCAGGGAGGCCATCATTTCTCTTCCTCCTCAAAAATATCCAAGTGTTTCATATTGTTTGGTCTCAGGCTCTGAGGTTTAACAAAAGAGCTGTGCGCTTCAGAGCTAAAACCTGAAGGTATCATACTGGTGTCATCAAGTAACATAAGATTCATAAATAATGGCATCATATATGTAAATTACATCACAGGTTTTCTATTCCAGCCAGCAATACTGAGACTTCTGTGCCATTACAGTATCTAGTTATGGGCACTACCCTTCAAAAGAGACCCAGGACACACCAAACAGAACACCCAAGAGACAAAGATGTCCAGTTGTTTACATGTTATGAGCTATGAGGAAGGACTAAACCAAATGACACTGTTTAGTCTGAAGAACTGAGGGGAGACATGGTAGCAGTCCTCAAAACATATGAAGTCTAGTGGCAAAAGTAAGCTGGCTAGAATTGCAGTGAGAGGCTTACTTTAGATGGTAGGAAGTTTTGTAAAGGGAAGAACTGTGAAGCAGCACACAGGATTGTGTGTGGAAGACTATGGACTATCCATGACTGGGGATTTTTTTAAAATGCATTTAGACAAATGTCTATCAGCAATGAGTCCCTCCAGTTCACCATAACTGAAGTGTTCAACCAGGACATTGTCTCAGCACCCACAGATTACAAACAAAAGAAAACTAAACAAATCCTCTTCCGGCCATTGACTAGTTCCCTGGTTTTCCATGAACACCATAAACAGAAAACAAACCCAAAATTCGATACGCATTCTCAGAAAGGCTAGACCAGGAAAACCGGTTCCTTGGGTAACCATGCTGCATGGAGGGTTTCTACAGGACGGACAATATTTTGCAATTACACAGCAACTCCAGACCGACACAGAGGGACACAGGTATTTCTTTCACCTTTGCACTTAGACTCTCAGACAGTTCCAAAGGAACCTCTTGCATTATTCCTTCCTCCAGAGTACTGGCCATGGGTTATCAACCTTTTACTGAAACTGCCTACAGTTTTGTTCCTACTAAGTTTTCATTTAGTATGGGCTAAAGCTTTAAACAAGACTTTAAGAAAAACCTTAGGCTTAAATAACTCATCTAAAAAGACAGCAAATACCCTTTTCCACCTTGAAATATTTGGGCTTCAGTTGACTGCGAAGGCATACAGGCACACTTCGAGTTAAATTTTTTTAACGTCCTTTGAGCTACCCACCATAAGCTTAATGCCAATTTAGCATGCTCAGCTTTCATATCAACCATGGCGATTCCTTTTCTTTACAGTAAATTTGGAGGTAGAAAACACTTTCTCCTCACCTAAAAAGCATGCAGAAACTAGTACTGTACTTTGCTGTCTATCTTAGCGCAAAATTACCCAAGACACTGATGTTACCGCAACTTGCTTGCTCAGATTTCTAAGCCCTTAAACTACTTTACCTCAGATGATGCGCAGTAGCTGCACATTTTACTTTGCCTGGGGCGTGTAAGAAGCGAGAAATATTTAGCTAACATTTCTTTTGACTATGAAGGGGCTGCTCAAGGTAAACACCCTAGCAAATAGGTTAGTGCTTGGCTCATGTTCTGGATCTGCATATCCTTAAGGCTGACTGCCTTGGATTATCATACTCCTGCTGCTCTAAACAGCCTATTTTTATTCCAGTTCTGCAGTGTTAAAGCTTAACTGAAAAGACTGTGGGGATTACAACTGATGAAAAAATGCTGGGGAGCAAAGAGGGTGAATACAGCAAGAAAGTATCATATTTTTATCTCCAACAGAGCAATAATAAAACAAAAAAACAGCAATATAAGCAGGTCTTAAGGGCTTGGGGTGGGTTCTCCCCGCCTTTTTTAAAGCCTCTACACCATAAAACAGTTGCAATTATGAGGATTTCATTTAAAAAAAAAAAAATTAAAAGGCATTTACCGCATTCAAATGAAATGCCATAAATATCTGCACCAATCTCTCCCTACTCAGCTCAGCAACCTCCGCGCCAGCCGGCTGCATCACATGTTCCTGGAGGTGATGTCATCCTTCCCCGGCTGGCCGGCTGCAGCTCTCACCGCCGCGGTGCCGCTGCAGTGCCCGCAGCCCCGTCACCCACTGCACAGCCCACCACGGCAGCGATGGGGTGAGCAGAGGTGTCGGCACAGACCCGCTCGCGGCGTGGCGAGCTCCACGGAAAAGCACGACCCACGCCTGCATGGCACAGCTTGGCAAGCACGAACTACAAATGGGCTTTCATTCCCACAGGACACGCTTCTCGCTTGAAAGCATGATGTATATGCATATATGGCACATATTTATGCTGTTCCTTCCACTATCCAGTTCATCTAAAAAGGCATTTTTATTTTAAAAATGTGGTTTTTTAATAATAAATCCTACACTAGTATTGTTTTAAAGACAATTTTAGTCTTAAAGAGGAAAACCACCCTTGATATTTTCAATACCTATTAAAGGAATACTCATTTTACAGTTTCACATTTTTAATAGGTAGTATATGCCCTTCTGTTGTCTCATACATCATACAGACACTCTTCCCTAACTACCAGTCAAGAGGGAAGAAGCTCAAACTATGCTAATTAATATTCAACTTCAGTAGATTAAGTAACACAGGACTAGGTAGTCCATTTCAATTTAAGAGGGGTTTTTTCCCCCCTCGTGAAGCTTTCAGAATTACACAATGCTGAGTTACAGCAATACAGCCTCATACTAAAACAAGAGTCTGCTATCACAGAGCAGTGATGATTGAAATGTTGTATCACACAACTGAAGATCTTTAAAACATACAAACAAGAAAGAAGCAAAAGAAAGTCACCTAAACTTTTTATACAGATGTATATACTAGAAAATGAAGAAGTCTTTCCCGCAAACACACCATCTCCTCTTTGCCCCCACAACTTCAGAGCCAGAAGACACCATCAGCCAGCCAAATTTAACAAACTAAATTTTCTGTACTAATCCTTTTTCTCATGGTGTATGAAGCTAAGATATTTTGCTGCAATATATTAATTTATCCAAGTTGAAAGACTCATGAAAAGACAGCATTCCTGGGTAGAGGTATCACCCTAGGAGGTTTCCAAGAGCCCTTTACCCAAATGGCCAGGGCTGCCCCCTCTCACTTGGGCTGCAAGCGTTCCCAAATCCCATGGCGAAGACCTGGCTGCAGAGCTGCAGTGCCCTAGAGACAAGAAAGTAACCCAGCGTAAAGCAGCCACCTTTTGCCTGGAAATCACAGCGTTCCTATAACTCTGCTGCTCCCCTGGGTACCCAACTTGCTGAAATTTCCCATGGGCACTGAAATACGGTGAGCAAGTCACCTTTAAGAGCAGTAACAGAAACGGGGTACCTTGTGTGGTAGTTCACACATCCAAGACAAAGACTGTACTAGTCTAAGGCTGAGGCGCCCTTCAGACACAGGAAACAAGGTAACCGTTAAGCATCTTGCACTGCAATGATCAGTAACTAGTCAGCCACACAATTAAAGGGAGCCGATAAAATTATCTTAAACACGTCTCTTAAGCTAACAATTTGGTTACAGAACTGCAGTACAAAAGAACGTTGGAAAGAGCTTCCCCAAAGATGCGTAGCTGCCCCAGGAACATAGAAGTCTTTGTTTCTTTGAAGGTATCTTCAGTGATGTGCACTGTCCAGTTATGGCAACACACACAAATTACAGAAACAGAAATTAAGACAGCAAAAAGACTTGGAAATTGAGGCTAAGAGCAGCATCTCCTTGCTAAGAGGTTGACAAAGCACTCATCCATTGCTGTCACACACAACTGACTTGAAACTTTTCTGAAAAAACCACAAACAAAAAAAGGGAATGCTCTCACCCTGAAAACTCGCACCTTTAAGAACGCAACTGCTTTTCACCTTGCAACATAAAAACAAGACCTTTTCACAGGCGCAAACAAAAAAAGCCAGACTCGACCCAGAATACGTCAATGCTTTAGGCTCTCTTTGGACTGCAGAAGAATGACTCCATGTGCCGTGTCACTGACAGTAAGCAAGTGCCTTATCTGCCAGGCTGCTCTCCCCAGCACCAGCCTTCTAATCCCCACCTCTTCTTTGACAGAAATCCCATCCCGCAGCAGAGAATACTCTTTCATCGAGTTATTTTCCAACAGAGTACTCTCTTCAAAGGACCTGCTCTGATAGGCTTCTGCTCAAAAATCCACACACTATGCTAAGTTCTATAGGAAGGAAAAAAGTGAAATAGCAGCACTCAGAACTGTTATGTTAATGCCACAGTTCAGGTAATCAGGGAGTTAAGTCATAATTGGACTGATTTAGGTTAGTCTTAAGTGGAAAGAAATATTTGCTAGAAGATGAGAGATAAAACAACTTCCATGGGTGGGGAAGAGACTGTTTCCTAGCCAAGCAGCAACTTCCTGCATGTAGGTAAGGCAGTTACAAACCATTCTGCACAACTCTTTGCATCCACTGGTCCCCTTTGTGTTGATTAAGCTTCACCTTGGAACAGAGAATCTCAAAGTTGTAGCTAGTCAACATTTAAGGAAAAAGGATCCAAGACGTTGCTGTCTTTAGCATTTCCTCTGTTTCACAGCATGAATGATATCAACTACATGACTCTGAAATCTGAGCTATTCCTCCCTTTAATTGTAAAGCATCCTAGCTAAATTTCAAGAGAAATTGCCTTCTAGTTAATTAAATAAAAAGGCAAAAAACAAAACAAAAGGAATAGAGAAGCTCCAATGTAATAAAATTAGTGCATTGTTAGACTGATTAAGGTTTCATTATTTGTCCTTTTTCTTCCCCATGTCACAAGATGATGACGTTGATTTTAAATCCTAGAAATCCATAGATTTATTCAACTTTGCTTATCAGTTAACAACTATGATAAACCTCAGCTGCAAGTTAATTTATACACTACCTCCCATGTTTTTCAAGTGTACAGAAAGAGAGCACAAAGCGGATTCCTCTTCTCCAATTTTGCCACGGAGAGGTTTTTAAAATAGGACAGCCGGCAAATTTCTAAAGACGGAATTATTCCATGAAAAATAATTTTAAACAAGATATGAGGATATTCACAAGCAGCCATTGTGAAGCCTTTTACATCCTTACTCTGAAATTACTATATAGAAACCAATACAGATTAAGTCAGTAGAACCATTTGATTCTTTCCTTCAATCAGATTTGGAAAAAATTATTGCTGAACTCCACAAGTTCTTGGGTTTAAAAATGGAATCAGACTACTGAGGTAAACGTGAGAAAGAAAAGTGAACTTTCATAAAGCAGAAAATGGCAAAAACCAGCACTAACTGAGAATACAACCCAAAGGGTTGGCAAAGGGAAGCAAAATGTAGCTAAAGTTAGTGCGTGTATGGGATTACTGATAGCTTTTCTTGATTTTAACTCAAGTATTTTAAGTGCCAATTTCAATTTTATGGTAGGCTTAACTATAAATTCATACTTTTGTACGCAAGTAAAGGATTCATAGAGCAATCAGAGCTGTCAATTCACCAACTGTACTGTTATCGCTTCCAGTTATAGACATTGCCTATATTCATTGCTGCTCAGCAACCTCACACCATCTTTCACATTGCAACAAAGCAAGAGAATTCAGGGAAATTATGGCAAAGACTGCAATTCTCTTCTCTTCTCTTCTCTGAAGCTTCGTGGACTTGCAGATGACCAGTTTCAAAAGATATACTGGCAATTCATCTCAGGAACACTAACTTAAGTATGCCTGTCATGGCATCTTTAAGACCACGCATCTTTCTTTTTAGGAGCAAACAAGGAACTACCAGCAGTTTTTTTAAATGACATACAGATCACTGGGCAACATTAGTAAACTTAGCATTCATCATTTATTCATTCACTTTTTCTTGGTCCAGATTCTAAAGCCTCGAGGTGACTCCAACAAGGACACAGCTTAGAGGCATATAACCAGAGGGGCATGATTTCAGTGTTGTTCCAGCAGCCATAGTCATGAGCTTAAGCAAAGTATTTGTTGTAGCTAATAGCTATTCATTTAACATTAAGACCCTAGTCCTGAATTTAAAGCAATTCCAGGGGTATGACGTGAGTGCACTTTTGACTTACTTCAGCTCTGATCAGGCTCAAGATCCACTCATCAGAAAACATTACACCTTCAAACTCTCACTTTAATCACAACAGCTCACAGAAATGTCTCTTCTCTTCCTGTTTTGTTTTGCATCCTATGCACTCTCCATTCGTGCTGCAGGGAATTGCACCACATCAGTACCAAGCTGGTATGCAGTGCTACCACATGGCAACCAGGACCTCACAGAAGTGGACAGCTTAGAAATTGCCTTGAAGTAAGAAAATGAAATTCATTAGAAGGTTACTAGCTCTTTAAGCCACTTTCAGTTTTTGGCATTTTTGCTAAGTGTAAGAGGTTCTCTCTTACCATTTTTAACACCTCTGTGACTTGTCCTGACACCAGGACACATCTCTCCTGACCGTAAATTATGGGGGGAGCGCAATGCCATGCAGGGGGATGTGAAACAAGAAAAGGCTACTAGTGTAGTTGACAGCAAATACTCAAGCAAGATCAAATTCACCAACTGAGTGACCATCCTTTTCTTGGAAGCTTACATGCTCATCTGTTCCTCCGTTAAGAAGAGCTCTTCTTACCAGGAAACTAGCTACCTCAAGTGTGTACCGCAAAACTTATTGAAGAGCTGCCTTAAGAACACAGGTTGAAGAAAACTCCAAATCCTAAATCACTGTTAAAAATCTGCAATTTCCTTTTAACTGGATAACAGGAACCTTAGAGTTATTCATATTTTGTAGTGACGTCCTTTCCAACCTGAATTACCCTTTGATCCTATAAAATGTGCGAGCCAGAAGTACAAATGTCCATTTTTCAATTGAAACTTGAGATGATCAAAATCTGACCAGTTTCCCCCCTTCGAAGTGCGGGGAACTGTGTTCTTAAATTTATCTATCTATTTGGGATGTTTAATCTGTTCCTGCTGTCTTACCGACATTGTTGGGTGTTTGATTGTTTTGGTGGGAACTGCTCATCCATTTCTAAGCCCTGCAATACTCCAATTCACTGCCCTGCTGAGGTGGCAAACCTTTTTGTAGTGGTGTTCAAATACAGCAGTAGCACACTGCTCTCACTGCAGTCAGATACTTTCCCTGTTGACTGTTGCTACAGACGCTCATGGCTTAAGGGGTCTACACTGTCACAGCTATCAGGAGGGTACCCA